AATGTGATGTTGGGCTCCATGATGGAGTATCTGCTACTACCAGTTTTTTCCCATGAACATATGTAGCAATTGGTTTTAAATTGCACTAACCTTATCAATAGACATTGGCATCTCAGTGATGCTTGATCCAGGATTACAAGTGATTTATGGACTCTTACTAGTGTAGCCTAATCCAATCCACACAGATATCTGTAGAAGTTCTCAGTGCCCATACGCTTGCCAGGCACTCCTTTTTAATCTGTGCATATAGTTTTTCTGCTTCTGTGAGTGTATGAGAGCAAAATGCAACTGGTTCCACTCAGATCCATGTTGTTGAATCGATACACCACCTAGGCCAGAGCTGCTTGCGTACACACTGATCATTGTGGGTTTGTTCACATCCTAGCATTTGGGAACTGGAGCGGTTGAGAATTTTTTTTTACATTTTTGAAGGCAATTTCTTGATTTGGCCCCCATAGAGAAGAAGTATTGGACTTTACCAGTTCATTCAGTGGTTTTGTCATTGTGGAAAGGTCTTGTAGGTATAGACCAAAGTAATTTGCCATCCTGAGTATGCTTCTCATTTCTGGTGCATTCATTTCTCAAATTTCTTTTATTTTTTCAGAGCTAACATTGATTCCATCTTTGTTTATTGTTTGTCCCAAAAACTCAATTTGGGTAGGCGGAAAACCCACATTTCCTTGTTTAGGTTCAGTCCACACTGATTAAGTTTAGAACTTCATTGAGGGTTTTGGTGCATTCTTCTATTGAAGACCCATATATCAAAATATCATCCATGAAGACTGCAGCTCCATTTGTGTTCATTAACATTTCTGCCATCTGTCTTGGGAAAATTTCAGGTGCACTGGTAATCCCTAAAGGTAATCTTTGAAAGCAAAATCTTCCAAAGGGTGAGATTAAAGTAGTCAGTTTAACGTACTCTTTGGCTAAAGAAATTTGCCACAATCCATTCAAGGCATCCAGCATGGAGAATTCTATAGCTCCTTTCACTTTGGGGAGGAAATCATACAGTGTTAGAAGGATATATTTTTCTCTTGCAATTGTTTCATTGTCTTTTTTAAGAGCCACACAGATTCATATTTGTTAATTTTCTTTATAACTGGTGCCACTGAGGCACACCATGCTGTTGGCTCAGAGATTTTCTCAAGTATGCTAATCTGTTAGTCTCTTGAACTCAGTTTCCACTTTATGAAGCAATGGGATAGGAATACTCTGAGGTGTATGTACTCTATAGGTTTCAGCCTTGTCTCTTAAGGTTAGTTGTCCTGATTTTCTTTCAGAAGTCCAATATTACCAAATAATCTGAGTTCTTCCAGCTGTCTCACTAGGCCCATCGTGGCTGCCACACTGTCTTTGAGAAGTTTGTTGGGTTTTGATCCTTTGATCACATAGAAAGACAAAGCCTTACACTCAGAGTGTAAGTTGTTTCTGTAGTGAACTGGCCCACACACTTCAGAGTACCCTCAGGGCTAGTCAGAGCCGTGTCATGTGATTTCAGCTCTGGGAGGGGCTGAAGGTAATTTTACATCCCTTCTGAGATGATTGTCACATCAGCTCCTGAGTCCGTTTTAAAGTCTATAGTGATTCTTGCCATGAATATTCATTTTGTCTCTCCAGGCAAGAGACACTTTCCACGGGGAGAGTGTAAAACTCCTTTCCTTGGGAAAATTTGAAACTATTGTACTCTTAGCTGAAATGGAGTTGGAGTGGGAATGTTTAAAAGATACTTTTCAAACATACTTATTGGTACTGACATGTCTTTGTGTAAAGCTGTTAATATTATTGTGACACAGAGGTCGATTTGTGGTTCACTAATCTGTGTCAGCAGCTCTTCTCAGGCCTGACATGCTCACTATACCTAACATACTCTTGTCATAATCTGTATCTAAAAGGTGGCCTGTAAGAAATCATTGGAAAATTGACTCACTGATCATTAATATCCTTGTATTATGTAAGCACAGGGTATGTAGAAAAAGTTATGAATATGTGCTAGAATTATGTTCTTAAAAGCAATGCATAAGCTCAATCTGCCCTGGATGAAGGAATGTGTATTTGTTTGTCTATTCACCCTGGTGTTCAGCCTCTCAAAAGTTCTTTCCCTTCCCAAATGGGCCATCGTGTGCTAACTTTTTGGGCACCACAAGCTGCTTCTAGGGGCCTTGAGGGCCCCTATCCTCACCAACTTGGGTTTCTCTGTACATCCTGCCCTCCTGTATAAAGAATTTACCTCTGATTTTGCTATTAGAAGCATCACTGTAAATAGCCGCCTTTATGCCTTCTAGAGAAGGGCAGCATCTTGCTCTGGGGCAAACATTGCTGTATTTGGGGTTACACCCAAAGCTGTCTCAGACAAAGAAGTTGATTACTCAATTAACCCCCACTAAATAAAATTATGCTGCCATAGAATGAGAGTGCGGTGCAATTGTGTGACCAGTCAAACAATTAAAACATTATCTGTTCAACAGAAAATTTATGATATTAACAGATCACTCTCTAAAGGTACCCGCTGTAGGCTGTTGCAGTGGAGCATAGCACTGCAGGAGTATGCGATGGAGACTGTGCACATCAAAGGGAACAAAAACATGGTAGCGGACACCCTGTCCAGAAAAGAGAGCCCAGAACCTAATGCCTGCAGAACAGTCAGTGGCTACTCCATCAATGTCCAGGGGGAGGTTTGAACAGAGACACCTTGGGAAAGGGTCCCCTGTTCTTTGCAAATAATCTCACCTTAGACTCGACAAACTCATTACACCAGATACATGGCTTGCAGGATATTTGATCCATAAAGAGTAACATGTAAGGTATCTGCTTACATGTAGGTCAGACAGCTCATAACTTGTCAAGATTCATAATCATTGTGAGATGCATGTATGAGTAATATTTAAAGAATAATGTTTTTGTTTTGAAAGTATGATTCATGGACTTGGAGTAGAGATTAGTCCCCAGGAGATAATGTGGCTCGGTATTGACCCATTCAGAGAGGAAGGAGTTGCCACGATGCTCTGTCTGGCCAGTGATGCACTACAGGGTTCAGTTGTGTAGCCTTGCTCAGTCTTAGGACTTTCAATGAGAAAACATCAGAGTCAACTACAAACAATTGAAACTTCTTCAAAGTAAAAAGGGAACATTGCAACAGGAGTCTGGTTCACCTTCTCTGTGAATAGAAACAAAAGACTGAGTCTAACAGAGGAGGGGATCAGGGGTGGCCAACCTGTGGCTCCAGAACCACATGTGGCTCTTCAGAAGTTAATATGCGGCCCCTTGTATAAGCACCGACTCGGGGCTGGAGCTACAGGTGCCAACTTTCCAACGTGCCGGGGGGTGCTCACAGCTCAACCCCTGGCTCTGCCACACGCCCTGCCTGCACTCCATCCCTTCCCACCCCTTCCCCTGAGCCTGCCATGCCCTCACTCCTCCTCCACCCCCCCCCCCAGCTTCCTGCATACCACAAAACAGCTGATGGGGAGGGAGGGGGAGGCGCTGATCAGCAGAGCTGTCGGTAGGTGGGAGGCCCTGGGAGCGGGGTGTGGGAGCTGATGGGGGGGCGGGGGGTGCTGACGTATTACTGTGGCTCTTTGGCAATGTACATTGGTAAATTCTGGCTCCTTCTCAGGCTCAGGTTGGCAACCCCTGCTCTGGATCCTTTCCTTGAGGAAACCCTTTTTTGCAGCAGGGGTGATGTCATGAACTTTTGGATGCTGATTCTTGTGAAACTAGCCAGCTCTGCCAGAGAGTGAACTTGGTGGGAGAAACCTACTGTATGAGATAGGAAAGGTAATAAGTGTAGGCCCAGGTTAACCTTTTATGTCTTTTTGTTGTTGTTTTGTTTTGTTGTAACCAGTTGTTTCGATCACTGTCTCTCACTTCTAGTTAAATCTTTACACTTATTTAAGTAAAACGACTTCTGTTTTATTGTAAGTGCTTACAAGTGCTGTGTGATCTATGGGAGTGGAGATTTAAGGTAAAACTGGTAAACTGCTATTTTGGTTTCAGGGGATCTGGAATTTCTGTGGATATCCAGTGTCAGGGGCTGGATATCCCAAGGGTGTGATTCAAAGGGACTCAGGGATTGGGGTGCACCTATTGTTAACCTGACAGGCGAAGACAAGGCTGGCATTGCCTAGACAAGATTGCTTGAGAGGCTGGAAGGCTGATGGTGTTAGCAAGCTGACACCTAGCCAGGCCCAGGCAACTCCCTCACACTGGAGGCGGGGACTAACCAGAGGACTCACTGTCGTAGGTACCCGGAGAACCATCACAATATCCCACCAGCTAGTTTAGGTGGCTCCTTGCCTAACACACTGGTTTTGTGGATCCCATTCCCAGGCTTCATCTTTCCTCTTTCATTGTATAACAAACCTGGGTGCCTAACTAATGCTCTGTGGATACCAGATTTTCTAGGCACTAAAAAGTTAGGATTTGCAACACCGAAGTCCATGTGTGGATCCAGGTTGAAATGACTTTAGGGCTGATGGCTGTAAGGCTCCATGTGAGCTCTATCTTAACTATGGATCTCTCAGTGGACTTGCACAGATCCACTGTCTCCAAGGCCCATGTGGGGGAGTGGGGAGAGGAGTATGGTGCATGTTCTCTCTTCCCCCTACTCTCCAATAGGAACCATGGAATAATCCCACACCAATTAGAACAGGGCAGGCCTAAGTGTTCCAGCCCTCGGACTCTAGCACACAGAGCTGTTGGCTCTGGTTAAATCTTGTTCTCTCTTTAGAACAAGCTGGTCACACTGAAATAAGCTTCCAGGTTTTGAGTTTATGTAATCTGGCACCTAGGAAGAGAGAGAGTGAGAGGACTATGGCCCTGTTCCTCTGTGATACCATCACAATTCAGTGTTCAGAGCATTGCATGTGTCCATGAGGAACTGGGCTGCAGAAAGAGAATTGACGTTTTCCTGCTATTGAAGATTTAAACTCTCACCCTCTATGCAGCGTATTCATAAAAATGAATGTCTGGAGTTAACACAGGTTTATTCCATTCTTGTCCAGGTTTTGGTTCTGACCCTCGCATTTTGGTTGAGGGTTACCAGGATGGAGGGATTCGGGTGGTATGTGAATCTGCTGGATGGTACCCTGAGCCTGAGGCACAATGGAGAGATCACCATGGGCAGCTCTTAGCATCATCTTCTGAAACAAAATCCAAAGATGCCAATGGCCTGTTTCAAATGCAAATTTCCATTGTTGCAATAGAAAATTCCAACAGAGACTTGTCCTGTTTTGTCACGAACCCTCGCCTCAACCAGGAGAAAGAGTCAACGATTTACATAACAGGTCAGTGCCCATCCAAACTACCCATAAAATGAAATATGGCAAACATTGGTGGGAAGTATGTCCTTTTGTGTTCTTGTTGCTGACTCCTCTTTATATTCCTTTACTCTGGGTAGTACCCAGGTTCCTTTGTTTTCTGCAGAGCTTCTTTATTACACACAGAATCTACATTGGTGTAAAAGCAACACTAATGGCCCCATTATGCTACCCAGATTTCGGTAAAACTTCCACTGGCTTAGTTGATCAGACCCTAAGGGTCATCTTAATTGCAGAGCTGTTACTTTGGCATTTCCCCTAGTGCACCTCCTGTCCACACACAAACCCCTTCTTATCCAGGTTTAGTGCTGCTTCACACCCAGGCTCATTGGCCCAGCTGGGGGTACACCGGCTAGAGCCGGGGATGCCATTTTCACTTGGTCTGGAACTTGCCACTTTGCTGATAGTTTCCCCCATGTCTCATCACAATTCACCTCCGCCCCATATTCCCAGAAGGACAGACAAGTTCTTCCACAATTCATTGGGAAAGAATCATAAAGCAGTTCTGTTTGCTGCAATACTAAGAACCATGGGATATACTCCTAGAAGTCCAAGCAATACACAGGGTACGTCTACACTACCTGCCGGACCGGCGGGTAGCAATTGATCTATTGGGGATCGATTTTATTGCGTGTAGTGTAGACACGATAAATTTATCCCTGATCGCTCTCCCGTCGACTGCTGAACTCCAGCTCGGCGAGAGGCGGAAGCAAAGTCGATGGGGGAGCTGCAGCGCACCATGAGGACGCGAAGTAAGTAATTTTAATTCGATCTAAGATACGTCGACTTCAACTATGCTGTTCTCGTAGCTGAAGTTGCGTATCTTAGACTGATTCCTCCCTCCCCGCCCCACAGTGTAGACCAGCCCACAGGGGTGAATGCAGCACCAGTGAGGAGCTAGAACTTGGGTAGGCCTTTATAGTGTGGCTGCTCACACCCAGGCTAGACTAGAGAAGGCTGGCAAGTAGCTATAAGAAATGAAACAGCCACTGGGAGTGGAATAGGCTCCAGTGATAAGCCCTGAAAAAAGGGCAGGTTCTGGACTTCCAGGGAGGGAGAGAGCCCTGGGAGGTGTTCAGTTAAGGTACAAAGCTGGGGAAACAAAGTAGCAGAAAGGCATGACAAGCCAAGCCTGAGGAGGGTGAAAATTGCTTTGAGTTTGTACTTGTGGTTTGGGTTTTTTAGGGGACTCCAGGGAAGGGCTCTGAGAGTCCCAGCCCTGAGAGAAGGTGGGGGACTGAGAGAGGTTGCAGGGGAGAAGGCCTGAGAATGGCCACGGTAGGCTAGAATCCTGTGTAATGGGAGGGCCTGGATTACCCTACCAGTCACTTTTATCGAGACCTGTGGCTGCAGAGGGAGATAAGGATGACTGGAAGCCCTGACTCAAGGATGTGAAAAGACCATGGGGCACAGAGTTGGGGATGGAGACTTGAAATAAGGACACTGGACTTTTATTTGTGGAACTTTCTTACCCTGGAAGGGATGGATTAACCTTGTGACCTGGGTCACAGGAAAAGAGACCATCACACTGCTCGAGCAACTGTCGATGGGAATGCAGGGGGGGCAGAGGTGGAGAGCTGCTATGCCACAAGGAGAGCTGCTATGCCTGCAGTGAGTCCACTTATTCACAGATCCCTTTAGTGTGCAGGGCCCCAAGGACCCACAAACAGGCCTATTGCCTCCAGGACTCCAAAACTGGGCCTTTGGGTATCAGCAATCCCTGGCTCTCTCTCTGGGTCCTGTGGCGATTCCAGCTAGGCCAGACTCCTGTGGGAGGCTAGTACTGTGTCCCTTCAGGGTGAAATGGTCTCAATGAGTAGCTGCAGTGACATAAGCAACTTTTGCAAAATAAGGTAACAGTTTATTAGTCACCTGGCTGGCTACAGCATCTTTAGGCTAGCATAGAGAAGCAAAATTTAAGACAGAGTTCAGACTGACCAATGCCAGGGCTCCCCTGAGCCATGCTGCTTCAGGAACCAACTCTGCCTCTTCTTCTCTCTCTCTCTTTTTCTTTGTCTGTCAGTCCCAGGTGTGTGAACTCTGAGCTCAGCTCTCAACACAGCCCCACCTGACACCTTTTCCCTTTGTTCTCCCAGTTGGGGGCCTTTGCTCTGTGAAATCTCCTTCCTTTTGTCTGTTGGCCACTAGGTGTGAATGTCCTGGCCATTGGGGTTTCCATTGTCTCTTTGGGTTCTTCCATTCACATGTGTAGACTTTATTCAGTTTGTTAATGACTCTGGTCTCCAGCCAGGCTGCTAGGTGAGTCAAACACTTCATCCCTTCCCTTTACATTCAATGCATAGCAGTACAAAGCCCAGAGGGAAAGTGAGCTGTGCATAGGAATCATAAAAATATTACCAAAATTCCCACATTCATCCCACTGATCAGCTCATTTAACTCTGCAGTGTAGACATGGTTAGGGCTGGTCTAGACTAGAAAATTAGATTGACCCTGCTACTTTGCTGCGGGGTGTGAAAAATCCACACCCCTAAGTGACATAATTAAACCAACCTAAGTCCTGATGTAGACACCACTAGATCGACAGAAGAATTCTTCCGTTGACCTACCTACTGCCCTTTAGGGAGGTGAATTTACTACATTAATGGGAGAACTCCTCCTACCCCTGTAATAAGTGCATACACTGCAGTGCTGCAGTTGTAGCATTTCAACCATAAACATAACCTAAGGGCTTGTCTACACTCAGGGCATGTCTACACTTACCTCCGGAGCGATCGATCCAGCGGGGGGTCGATTTATCGTGTCTAGCGAAGACGTGATAAATCGACCGCTGAGCGCTCTCCCATCGACTCTGGTACTCAACCTGGGCGAGAGGCGCAGGCAGAGTCGACGAGGGAGCATCAGCAGTCAACCTACCGCAGTGAAGACACCATGGTAAGTAGATCTAAGTTACACTTCAGCTACGTTATTCACGTAGCTGAAGTCGACGTACTTAGATCGATTTCCGCTCCCCTCCGGTGTAGACCAGGCCTCAGGCCACATCTACACTACTACTTTTGTCAGTATCGCTTATGTCACCCAGTGGTGTGAAAAAACACCCCGCAAGCAACATAAGTTACACTGACCTAAACAGTGTGAACAGTGCTAGGTCAGCAGGAGAGCTTCTCCCACAACGTAGCTACCACTGCTTGTGGAGGTGATTTTATTATGTCTACAGGAAAGCTCTCTCCCATCAGCATAGAGCAGCTACACAAGCGATCTAACAGTGGCACTGTAAGCAGCTGTAAGCTCTCTAGTGTAGACATAGCCTTACAGTGCTGCAGCGGCACACATACACCGGTGTAGCTGTAGTGCTTAGTGATGATGCTACCTACGCCATCAGCATAGTTAATCCACCTCCCTGAGAGGAGATAGCACTCTCAGCAGGAAAAGCTCTCCCGTTGACATAGCACCATCTACACCAGGGGTTATGTCAGTATAACTGTGTCATTCAGGGGTGTTGGTTTTCCACACCCCTGAGTGATGTAGTTATACCAACATAGGTTGGTAGCACAGACCAAATCTAAGTGTCATTTAATTGCATGAAACTCAGGACATTCAGACCTTAGGGCAGGTCTACACTACCGCTTAAGTCGATATAACTTACAGTACATCGCTCAAGAATATGAAAAAATCACCCCCCTAAGTGACACAAGTTTAACTGATCTAAGCACTATCCACGTCGGCACTATGTCTGTGGGAGACGCTCTCCTGCCGACGTAGCTTCCGCCTCCCGCAGAGATGGAATAATTATGCTGGTGGGAGAGCTTTCTCCCATCGACATAGAGCATCTTCACTAGATGCACTTCAGCTGCATTAGTATAGCTGCGCCAATGTAGCACTTCCAGTGTAGACTTGCATCTTATTCTTAACCTCCTGTGTGCGCTTACATCATGATCTTCTCCCTGAATTTCTTCCATATACAACAGTGGAAGTTTATATAGCTTTGAAAGCGAGAGAAGCTTAACAGAAAAACAGCACTATTATTTTGGGATAACAGAGGCCATACTACGAGTTATATTGGTATAACTATACCCATATAGTTCTGCCAGAAATTTTCCCTCGTAGACCTGAGTAACTGGGTTACCTTCACACTCTCCCTCTTACCAACTGGTTTCCCATGTCAGTCGCTCCTGTTACTAGCTGTTCTGAATTGTAACCCAGCCAGTCATTTAACTGACGTCTAAATGCCTGGCATCAACAACCCCTTGTGGCAACCCATTGCAGTATAAAGGATTTGTGATTATTTTCTATAACTTTAGAATCACAAAGTAATATTTTGTATTTTAATGTTTTGGGGCTGATCCTTTATTTCTTGTCCATCCAAAAATTCTGTTGCATTGTATATGGAAGGACTACAGCAGGGGAAATCAATAGGTGGAGCAGTAGCCAAATCTGGAACGCCAGACATTTCTGAATAGATCGCAAAATCTTTTTATTTACTTATTATTATTATTATTTTGTATTATTTTCTCTGGAGTCTGGACCTTGACTATACCTTGACCAAGAAATTTGGACCTTGACAAAAAATAATTGATTATCCCAGGATTAAGCCCATTCTTCAACTGTGTAAGAGATTATCATGATGTATATGTACATGGAAGGTTCGGGATAAGATGGCTGTGGAAGTTTCCCTGTGTAGACAAGGCCCAAAACTCACGGGCTGTGAACTAGATCCAGGCTATATGCAAAGCAGTGAGACTGAATTTGGTGTGGTGTCTGGAGGAAGCAGCCTGTGGTTTCGGCCGTGAATCTAGTGGGAGCTCTGAAGAGAAGCAGGGACTCCAGGCAGCTGCTCCTTGGGACAGAGCAGTGAATCTTTAGCTAAAGATATGAATCTTTAGCGCATCTGGTGTGTAAATATCTTGTGACGCTGGCTACAATACTGCCATGCAAACACCTGTTGTCATTTTCAGGTGATATTGTAAACAAGAAGCGGGCAGCATTATCTCCTGCAAATGTAAACAAACGTGTTTGTCTGAGTGATTGGCTGAACAAGAAGTAGGACTGAGTGGACTTTGTAGGCTCTAACATTTTACATTGTTTTATTTTTGAGTATAGTTATATTTTTGTTTATAATTCTACATTTACAAGTTCAACTTTCATGATAAAGAGGTTGCACTACATTATTTCTATGAGGTGACCTGAAAAATACAATTTTTGTTTTTGTTTTTTACTGTGCAAATACTTTTAATAAAAATAATAATATAAAGTAAGCACTGTACAGTTTGTATTCTGTGTGGTAATGGAAATCAATATATTTGAAAATGTAGAAAACATCCAAAAATATTTAAATAAATGGTATTCTGTTATTCTTTAACAGTGCGATTAATCGCGATTACTTTTTTTAATCACTTGACAGCCCTGATTGTAATGTTATGGGTTTCTTTAAAGGAAAAAAAGTGGATCTTAAACAAATTGATAAAGGGGCAGTGAGGAAGGGAGGATGGCACGAGGAGGGAGAAGTACAAATACAACTGAAGGTGCAGGGTCACTATGTTGTTTTGCAAAATTCGGATTTACCAAATAGACTCTTGTCAGTTAGGGCTTGAACTTTCCCAAATGAAGTCAGTTGGACTTTTGCCACTTACTTTAATGGACCACTTACTTCTCATCTACCCAGCTGCAACATGTCTCCAATTTGTAGAATATACAAGACATGTAACAAGGATAAAATTCTGTCTTCTATTGGCTTAACAACAAAGCACGAAGCATCTTTATCACACTATGAAATCCACCAGGAGTTAGATTCTTCTTAGTAGGGGAAGCAAAAGTGGATGGGAACCTGGGAGACCATGAGATGGTTGAGTTCAGGATCCTGACACAAGGAAGAAAGGAGAGCAGCAGAATACGGACCCTAGACTTCAGAAAAGCAGACTTTGACTCCCTCAGGGAACAGATGGGCAGGATCCCTTGGGAGAATAACATGAGGGGAAAAGGAGTCCAGGAGAGCTGGCTGTATTTTAAAGAATCCTTATTGCGGTTGCAGGAACAAACCATCCCGATGTGTAGAAAGAATAGTAAATATGGAAGGCGACCAGCTTGGCTTAACAGTGAAATCCTTGCTGACCTTAAACGCAAAAAAGAAGCTTACAAGAAGTGGAAGCTTGGACAAATGACCAGGGAGGAGTATAAAAATATTGCTCAGGCATGCAAGAGTGAAATCAGGAAGGCCAAATCGCACTTGGAGTTGCAACTAGCAAGAGATGTTAAGAGTAACAAGAAGGGTTTCTTCAGGTATGCTAGCAACAAGAAGAAAGTCAAGGAAAGTGTGGGCCCCTTACTGAATGAGGGAGGCAACCTAGTGACAGAGGATGTGGAAAAAGCTAATGTACTCAATGCTTTTTTTGCCTCTGTCTTCACAAAGAAAGTCAGCTCCCAGGCTGCTGAACTGGGCAGCACAGTATGGGGAGGAGGTGACCAGCCCTCTGTGGAGAAAGAAGTGGTTCGGGACTATTTAGAAAAACTGGA